AGCGTAAACCTGGGCAGCCACTTATTATTATTATTATTATTATTATTATTTAAATATATAATTGAAAGTACATTGGAAGAGACACCAGGGACCCAAGGCTGTATGCCTCAACTTCTGGGCCCATTTCTTCATCTGTGAAATAGTAAGGTTAAGATAGGTCAGTCTTCCTGATTCCCTTCCAGCTCTAAATTCTGTGACTAAAGGAAAAAAAATAAATAAATAGCCCACCTGCTTCCTATAAATCTATCTATGAGGAGTGATATCTGCAAAGAGGAGCTTTTATAAATATAAAAGCCTGTTAAAATAATCAGTTCCCTAATCTATTACTTCAGTAATTTTGGGTTTCCCTATTTCCATACTGTGAGTTGCCTTCAGCAGGCTTATCTCGTAAGTATTATAAAATATGTCACAGATGTTGGAAACTACTAGAATTAGCAGACAGGAAACTTACTATTGCTCACCTGGTTCAGCATTTCTCAATGCGTTGTGCCAGAAGTAAAGAACCCACCAGGCTGAAAGGAAAAGGCCACTTCACGGTATTGATTTCACTGCCTGAGACGGCACGAGGTATGTGCCTTTCAATCCAAAAAAGAAATAAACCAAGCTGCCTGCCTTGCCTAAACAGAGCTCATGCTTCGTTTGTGATGACGTCCAGATCTGTCAATAGACTTTCTTGCTCTGGCTGGCTGTCAATACACTTCTGCGCTCGATGCATGTGGTTATGAGCTACAACTTCCTGTCCATCAAAAAGTGTTGCTCTTCTGGATTACTGCTTAAATTGCAGAGTTCACTAAAAAGGAGGGGTGGGGAGGGGAGTCACTCTGGGCCAGCCTGGAGAGCCCTGGGAAAATGGCCTGCCCCTTCTGAAATGAGACAGTGATCTTGCTTCCGGTTCAAGCTACTGAGAAAAATGAAGAGCTCACTTCAAGGTCTACTCACAGTCTCATCTCCAGCCTTTTCTTCTCTAACCCCTGGCAATAAAAATCCCCAACTGGCAGACTTCTCGTCCTAAAGCCAATTTCCAAATTTAAAACCATGTGCCTGGTGCCAGACAGATATAAAGGTGCCAAGCCTCACTGGACTCATACCTGTTCTGGCAGTTACTTCCATTCCATTTCTGCCCTACTGGGAAATTCAAGTGGCATGAAAATCAATACTTCATTTTGAAGGGAAAGAGGGCCGGAGGACCAGACATCGACACATTCCTCCCTGGATTAGACAGTTCTTCCAAGCACACTGGACTGAATCAATTCCAGCGGCCCAAATGAGTTGGCTGCAGGCATTAGCTGGAACCAGGAGCAAATCTTGCTTGTTAAGATCTTTGGCTAATTGGGGACTCTACTTGTTACAGTAAGAAAGAATTCAAGAGAAAATGTAGCCAATGCATCTCAGTTTTGAATTTTATCCAAGTGCTTCAGACCATAAGGAGTCCCTCAGGCCAGGAATTCAACCGCCCCAAAGTAAAGATGGAGAAATTCAGACTAATAGCTACAGCCCTGGGTATTAGGGTATTCACCCAAGGCCTCTAACACTCAACTCAGAAAACAGCACTGGCTGTGGAATAAGTTCAAACTTGCAGGGCTAGATGGATCAGTTTGTATACCCCTTCACGGGACGTCAGGATCTGTACAATTTGGATGTGATCGGGACAGAGTGCAATTCTTAAGGAGAAAAAGGTGACCTTAAACTGCTCTTTCAGATGTCAGTGTCTTATAGAGGTACCAAGATCAAAGCCTCACATTTCCAGAAATGATTGTTACATTTTCTTTCCCCATTTTGCCAGCTGATAACGTACAAGTGCTTCTCATCCTAAACCAAACTAAAAGAAAACTCCCTAAAGTCTGGAATGGTTCTGCCTTTTAGGCCTAGAGCAAACATGATAATGCATTTGTAAAGTAAAAAAAAAAATTTTTTTTTTTTTTTTGTCTCTTGGCAAACAGCTTACAAACTCAAATGAGAAATAGGAAGGCAGTGCTTGTCTTGGTTTCTTCCTGTTCAGTGGTGTGTGAGTTCAGGTTATACTGGTATTCACTAAGATCTACATACCTCTCAAAAACAGGAGGAAGTGGAGGGGAAGAAAGAGAGAAAAAAAAAAAAAAGGAAAGAGAAATAGATGTTGGCTGACAGGTATGCCATAACAATAATGGATTTTTAGAACTTAAAAAGGTTGATAAAACTCATACCAGGTTTAATATACCTTTTCCATAGCTCAGCCGCATGACCTCCCTAGGTTAAAATAAAATTGCAGAACCTTTTGTAAATGAAAAGGCAAGCTGGTAGTGGGTTAAGGACTCCAGGGTAAAAACAAAAACCAACAAAAGCAGCAAAACCACCACTGGAAATTTCTAGGACTGTACGGTTCTCTTTGAAAACTTATCCTTATAATGGGGAGGCCTGGCTGTGACCACCTTAACCGTTATAATACGGAGAGACAACCTGACGTTACATACCTCAGAATGTGATGTCAGGGCAGGTATACAACATTAATGATGGAGTTTCATTGCCAACAAATGTTAATCTGAATCGAACTATGAGGAAACAATTAGAACACTAGACCATAATGGACATTCTACCAGACAACTGTTTGGGATTCTTCAAAAAAGTCAATGGTATGTTAAAAGGAGTATTCTAGATTTAAAAATTGAACAGCCAAATGCAATGAATAAACATTCAATGGATCCTGGATCATAAAATGAATGGGCAGCATATAAAAGACATCTTCGGGGCATTAGGGAAAACTGGAATATGAATTGCTTATTACATATTATTGCATGACCCTTCTAATGTATTGGTGGATATGTAGAGAAATGCCCTTCTTAGAGGTACACTGGAGTATGGGGGAATGGAGTGTCTTTGACTTACTTTCATTAAGGTTCAGCATAAGTATATATATGCTATACATATGTGGGGGTGTGTATGGAGAGAATACATGTGTTAAAATTAAACAATTTAGTGAATTCAGATAAAGGATATACTACTGGTCATTATACTAGTCTCTCAATGCTTCTGTAGATTAAAATGTTTTTCCTAAAGTTGAGGGAAGAAAGTATTTTTGTTTTTCATGAGAGACAACTCTGGTCTTTCTTTTATCAGTTCTCCAAAAGCTTATAAATTTCTCTTTGTGTGGGATTTATAAGGTTTGTAGAACAGAAGACCACTACCCACAATACGTGAGCCTTACGTTTCAATTCATGGAATGAGGGATCAGTTGTGAGGCTGTCGAGCTCCAACATTTCCAAAATTTCAGGGATAGCACGTCAGAGTCATTTCAAGTGCTTCTGAGTTTGACATCACAGGGTCCCGAGTCCAGCCTAGTGGCAGTGACTTCTTCATAACCTCACCAAACTACACTGTTTAAGAGTTTTTAAATAACTATCAAATTATACAGTGCCAGGATCATTCTTCTGTATCTGATCTCTCTGCCCTGCACTCCTGCTGCTCTAGGACATATGTTTCCATTAGATCCACTATGTTTTTTTTTATGTCATGTTGGCAGGTATGTGTTCCCACTGATTTATAAAATTTTAGTAAGGTAAATACCCTGTTCTAACTCCAGAATTCAATGCAGCACCATGGCACAAAACAGGAACTCAACAAGTACTAGTTGAATAAAGGAATCGGTAAATAAGGATCTACGGTGAAGCTTTTTCCAGGGAAACAATGTGTGTTTAACATGTAATGATGTGGTTTCTCTAAAATGACTGGTAGGAGACAGATGGACAAGGGACCACTTATTATGAAAACTTGAAAATGTCCTTGTTGGCCACACGGGCCTTTGTGGGAGGAATGGGAGAAGTGTCTGGAACATAAATAGAAAAGAAGCTATGTTTATGGATGAGAAATGATCAGGAGCCACAGTTCAACCAGAGGCCTGGCTGAGAGGACTCATTTTGTCCAAATGTGTGCCATAGGCTGCATTAATGAATATACTTCCGTAAATTAACAAGTGTATTTTATGTCTAATTGAACACTTAAAATTTCAAGATACATGATTTTTTTTCTGACCTATTTTAAACATTTCCTACTTAATATTCCTTCAGTAATGTTACTTAGTGTTCCTACTTAAAGCCTATTTTAAACATTTCAGTTTTTTAAAAAAAATGAACCAAACTCTTTCCCTGAGGTTAAGTTTTTTACTGTTTCTGCAAGGTAGCTATTTTAGTAAAATTTGCTATAACGCTATAATGAAGTCTGTCAGGAATTGGAAAGAGAAGTTATTTTACTATAAGTGAAAAGCTGGGGCACATTTAGAATTTCTGGTAACGTTGGGAATAATGCCTTAAATGAAAATAATTACGTCAACAAAAAGAAATTCTTCTTAGATCAGTCCTGAGAACTGAGTAATAATGGTTAAGAATGATCACATTAAAGAAGCTTTTGGTCTTTATATGAAAAGAGAAAGTGAAACAGTAGCTAGGATTTACTACACACAGCACCACCACCTACTAGGACAGGACCAACACCAGGGTCTGGAAGAAAACATCCCTTTCAAATCCACGGGGCAATTTTTACCAACTCATTTTTCATGGAGCAGGAAAAACAGTCAGACAAATCAAAGGTAGGTATCTTTGGAAAATTTAATTTGGACCATATTTTCTTTCTCTTGCTCAAAACACCAAGTAGTTCCGTACATTTTGGGTTCCACAGCTTACAAAGGGGCAGTGGGCTTCCTGCAGTTACATATACTGTACCCAACTTTCTATAGAAAGATCAGACATTTCCCAACCTTGCTTTGAGTATTTCCTAAAAAATGCTTTAAAGGTTTCTTAACAATAAATGGCAAGTGAAACGGTAAGGCTTTATTTTCTCCTTTTTCCCCTTTTTTGGTACTGCGTGTTGGAGGAATAAGGAAGGAAGACTTGTCCTAACAGTGTGGTGCCCCGGGGGATCCTGACACACCGGACACGCTGCGGCCCTGACGGGAGCCCTGCGGTGCGTAAGGACCTTGGGACCTGGTACCTGGTAGGGCAGGTAGGGCAGGTAGGAGGGGCGGGGGCGCAGCACAGAACGGCGTGTGGGGTGGCCGGCTGCTGTCGGCGCTCCCGGCCTCCGGGAGGAACAGAGGGGGAAGAGGTCTCCCCCGGGGCCGCAGTACCACAGGTTCCCTTCCGCGGGCCTTACGAGATGCATTTAAACACTAAAGGTAATTTCTGAAAATAAAACGAGGAAAAAAATCCCTTCACTAATTTTTGTATCCAATTACTAAAATGAAAATAAAAGCATTTGATAAAACACATTTTCTACGTCAGATGAAAGCAACTCCCTTGCAAGATAACCTTAGTAATATATATTTGCACTATTTATATATTTTTGCCCGGTGCACACCCTTCTTTAATTGCATCATCTGAACAGCTTTGCCATTTTTCAAACTTGCAGTTTCATTAGCTTAAAAAAGGGATACAGCAGCCAAATTAATACTTCTGGTTGCAGAAAAACAGAGCAGACATTAACCTTCATCTTCTCAAGCGTTAAGAGCACATGATTAAAAGGTAATCAAACGGTGTCTTCTCTTAACAGAAAACTAAGCAGCTAGTGTCATCAAATCTATATCTAGTAAACACGGGGCCCCTCTTAAATATAAAATTAAATTCTTTTGAGGAATAGGTTTGTGATTTTAGTTGTGCGGGATTTACATTTATTCACTCATTTTGGTAGTAAAAATGTATGGTCTTCACTTCTTTATAGGCATACACGAGGGAGTTCTTCATCCTCTCAGCAGGCTGGCACACACCAATGGCAGGCTGGGGTCCGTGGCTTGTTTCAGAAAGGGGAGGCAGCCACACGCCACTTGCTCTCAGAAACCCTGCAAAAACTCCTGCAGCTGGGTGACGATCTCCGTGTCCACGGTCTCCATGAGGGACTGGAAGCCTTGCTCTCCCAGGAGCTCCTGCTGCGCCTTCAGCTTCTCGTAGATAAACTGCTGCAGCGACACTGTGTGCACCGGGTCCTTCAGAGCCAGCTATGGGACAGAGAGGGGCCACACTGCGTCAACGAGGCAAACACAACTCCCCCTTACACGGGACTACAAATCTCTGTAATCTCTTCCGCAGCCGCACGACTGCTTCTGCCTCCCTTCTCACAAGAGATCCTCAAATAGTAACACTGTGCAAAAGTCTGCCGAAGGAAATTTCACTGTTTGTCTATCCTCGGTTCCCTAGGGCCTCTGAGACTAAGTTGCCCGATTAGCCCAACTCTTCAACAGCTCAGGCTTCATCCATGTAAAGAATTGAAACCTGGTACAAAGTATTCTAGACAGAACATGCCGAAGAGCATTTCAACACAACTGTCCAGGGCTCCTCTGAGGAAGATAAGGTGCTACTGAGGCAGCTCAGGGAGGCCCTCGGGGCTGACAGAGGAAAGCGCCCTATCCTGGACTGCTCTGCTACTTACTACGTGCTTCTGGTAACAGAGAGAGAGAGACAGAGACAGAAATAATAAAGAAAAACATTTATAAAACCAAAACAAGCACATACCCCTCCTCTCCCACTGGGATATTTGGAAAACAAAAGAAATACAATTAAAAATAACCCATCATTCTACTTCCTAACAATAACAATCACAACAGAAAACACTGTGGCCTCCTTTGCTTTTCTGTGCAAGTGATCCACAAATACACAATATCACAATATATACAATTAGTGCTGCTCTTTGCATTTGTATATCACATGAAAATTCTACTCTAACACATTTTAAGAATTCTAAATCTATATGTGTTATCATCTTTTTGGTTATAGGTGTGTTGAAATGATCATGGTATAGTTAAAATACAATTTTAACTAATTTTCCTGAATAACCTATCACAAGCACTGTTCCTCTACATATCAGATTACTTCCTTATGCCTTTTTCTATTTTAGAAGAATTACTAAAGGACACAGACGATTTTATGATGCCTGATACACATTATCAAGTTGTTTTTCCGACAGTTATTACAAATGTAAAAGGTATGAGAGTTTACAGTTTGTGACATTGACTTTACCACTGGTATTAATTACCATTATTTAAATGCTTTATAATTTACGAAGTGAAAAATAATACACTCTACTTTAAGCTGTACATTTCTCTCATTATCAATAAAGGTGAACATCTGCAAGGCGTGAGTAAAATACAAGAATGTGTGTGCCCACTATGGCTGCACAGAAACTCTTGTCCTTCCTTACGGATATTCAATTTTAGGTAGATAAAACAGTTGAATCACATGCGCTGTTTGAGCAATTTAAAGAAATTTTAAAATAATGACCACAAATGGAAAATCTAACTGAGAGGCAGAGACATACATGGCATGAATTTGAAATGAGACCCCTTAGGTGACCATTCCAGAGCTACATGATAAATCCAAGGCAAGGATACATTCAGTATTCATTGCAGGTGAACAGGAGAAAAGAACTCTCAACACAAACCCCTGCCTTCACAAGCCTGAAGATATCACTGTACAAAAAGCACAGAAATTGAAGACGAACATTTAAAAGTAAATGTTCTCTTAAGCAAAATGCAGTAATGTTCGATATTATTTTCATTACTATGAAATAGATTTTTTGCTCAAGAGGATGTGCACTTTGTTGAAATATCATGAACTATCTGTAACTAAAACCATCTGCTACAATATGAGGGAAACAGAGCTGAGCTGGAAATTGATGTTCATATAAGTTACCCCAACTACTGAAATGAGCTTAGAAGGGTTGTTTAAATGCTGTTTCAATCTGCTATAGAAAGCTGCAAACAGTTAACATATCAAATCTCCACCCTTTAACTTTCAACTGACTAATAAAAGGAAAACTACTGCCATACTAAATCCCACCAAGGCATCAGTATAGTATTTTTTAAAGTATATTGACCAGTCATGCAAAGATAAAAAAAAAACCATTAGTCTCTTTTGAAAGAAAATTTGTTGAAGGGAGAAGGAAGGGAAAACAAAACACACAAGATCTCCAAATGCACATCTTTAAAAAATCTTAAAACAACCACCACAACGACTATTTTCTTCAGTTAAAAATATCATGTTAGCAAATAAATGTGGATTTTGGCTTGTGGTAGATAGTCATAAATCACAGCTATTAATACTTTCTTTTTTTGTTTTAATTTGTTTAATGCTTATTTATTTTTGAGAGAGACAGAAGAGAGTATGAGCAGGCAAGGGGCAGAAAGAGAGGGGGACACAAAATCTGAAGCAGGCTCCAGGCTCCAAGCTGTCAGCACACAGCCAGATGAGGGGTTCGAACTCAAGAACCGTGAGATCATGACCTGAGCCGAAGTCAGACGCTTAACTGACTGAGTCACCCAGGTGCCCCAATACTTTCTTTTGAATAAGTTTTTTGAAATACATTAATAAAATGATTCTCTTGAGAAAAATCACTGCTGCATACCCACTAAAACTCCAGATATCATTTCTTTGAATGTTACAGTGCCATTGATAGAATTAAAAAACACTAAAGTCACTAATATCATTTTCACAACTGTTGCTTTTATACAGTATATACATATATACTATATAAATAATGCCCACATTACATAATAAACTCAATTATATGATTTAACGTGAAAAAATACAGAAAGCTTACATGTTCATCAGGTGGTATGCTCCTGAGAAAATAATTAGTTTTATAATGTAATAAGCAAATTATAATTAGGAAGATAACTCTGCTGTTGGAAAACCACACTGCAAAAGTAGATGTGAAGTAGACTTCTAATTCCAAAATAATAGAGTAAAATATTCTTCTAATTCTTTCAGCTAAGTACAACTAAAACTCCTGGACATTACGTGTGTGTGTGTGTGTCTGTGTGTGTAGAGACACCCAGAACTGAAGGAATGACACAGTACTGAGTCCCAGGCTTTCTTCTTGCATCATATATCCCAAATTTGGGCCTGAAGAAGCCAGCAACCTGGACATGGTAACAAACGTAGACCAAAAAAAGGCTCCAACAAAAAGCCTGCTCTCTACCCAAGGGACCACAAAGCAAGACAGAAAACTTTAGATGATAACTAGTTTATTTCACTCAGCCCGACACCAAGACTAAACTATGGCCCCACCTCTACTCACACCAGGCTGTTAAAAGGATTCGAACCACCCATCCCCCAATAGCGTGTGTGTGGCGACACTTGGGGAGCTTGAACTCTCAGTTCCTCTCATGGGGAGAGGGGCCGAGTGGAGAACTTGGCTTTCTGCACCCACCTGACAGTAACAAAGTGGCACAGCCACTTCTGCCACAGCAATGTCAAAAGAAGGTGGCTAAAACAGAATTTGCAGTAAGATTCAGTCTAATAAAACCAAAAATATCCAGGTTTCAATAAAAAAAAAAGTCATTCATAACTAAAGGAGGTATCAGAGGCAGACGGGAAGTGGGTTTAATTATAAAAGGGCAAAATGAGGAGTCTTTGCAGCGACGGATATGTTCCATATCCTGACTACTTTGGTTGTGATGTTACAGTTTTGCAAGATGTTATCACTGAGGGGTCATGGACAGCAACACATCACAAACCGGAGTGAGCTTAGTATCTGGCAACCTCAGACACCAAGAATATATTTGGAGGCATGGAATTAATTTCCCGGAGGTGAAAGACCCAAACAGTTTGGTAATCCACATTCCCAAATTCAAACAAATTAATCACAGAAGAATCTTACAAATTCAGAAATTGTTTATCTTCTTTGGAACATATCTAACAAGTGTGGTTATCTTTGCTCAGATGTACAAATATAAGAAGGTAAAAACCCTCTACAGAAAAAACAAAGCCAACAGTACTGAGGTCCAGCTGACAATACAGAAATACCGGGAGTAATGGGAAGAGATACAAAACTATTAAAAACGGACCCAGATGAGACGCAATTTTTGGTACTCTGGACCACATCTTGCAACTAAGAGCATTAGTGGAAAACCAGCGATATCTCAATAAAACCTGAAGTTTAGTTAGCAATAAATATACCACTGTTGGTTTCCTAACTTTGACAAATGCACTCGGATGTAAGATGCTGACGTTACGGAAAAGGAGTGAGGGGCACGTGAGAAGGAAAGGTTTGTACTACCTCTGCTACTTTTCTGAAAACCTAAAACTCTTCCAAAATAAAAAGGGTGTCTGTCTTTATGCCAGTACCATACTGTTTTATTTACTTTGTGATAGATTTTGAAATCAGAAAGTGTGATGCCTCCAGCTTTATTCTTTTTCAAGACTGTTTTGGCCACTCAAGGTCTTTCATGGTTCCTATGAATTTTAGAATTGTGTTTTCTATTCCTGTAAGGCATGCCATTGGAATTTTTGACAGAGTGCACAGCCTCTGAAAATTGCCTTGCGTAGTATGGAAATCTTAATATCTAGTGTTCCAAACCATGAATATGAGTATCTACTTGTGTCTTTAATGTCTTTCATCAACGTTTTGTAGTTTTCAAGGTACAAGTCTCTCACCTCCTTGAAGTGTATTATGTATGCTCAATTATTGTATTTATGTTAAATTTATGCTCAGCTATTGTATTCTTTCTGATGCAGTTCTAAGTGGGATGTGTTTTCTTAAGTTCCTTTTCAGATAGTCCATTTAGTACAGAAAATACAACTGAAGTTTGCATACTGACTTTGTATCCTGCAACCTTACTTAATTTATTAGCTCCAGCAATTTTTTTTAAATAGGTCTTTAGTGTTTTCTATACATAAGATCACATCATCCGCAAAAAGGGACAGTTTTACTTCTACCTTAACATCTGGATTCTTTTTATTTCTTTTCGTTGCCTAATTGCTCTGTCTAGGATTTCAGGTACCATGTTGGGTATACAGAGCAAGAGACAGAACAGGAAGTTCAGAAATAATTCCACACATATATAGTCAACTGATCTTCAACAAGGGCACCCAAAAGTAAACAGTGATGAAAGGACAGTCTCTTCAACAAATGGTGTTGAGAAAAGTGGATATCCAAATGAAAAAGAATGAAATCCTTCTCTTTCTCCACACAAAAAATCAACTCAAAATGAGTGAGACT